GAGTAATTAAATGCCTCCTTCACGCTTAAGAATAGGCTCTATATTTCCACCATCAGCCTGAGCACCGTCACCGCTGGACTTCCACTTCAAGCACTGATACCGCATTTATGACACCGGTTTCACAGCGACAGCTGTTATGGGCTGTTGTCACCACTCGATATGACGTTCGTTGTTGATGTTGTAGCTGTTGTTATTTGCGTAGAAGGGTGTCCGTCGTCGGTGTTGTCAAATCATTAAAAATCACTGCCCACCGCCCGCGGAAACGTAACTTGGATTAAATGCGTGCGAAGCGATGGCGTTCCAACACAACCACGCCGGAGAGTTAACAACACAAGTGGCAGAACAGACCAGGTTGGGGCCGCGGTGACCTCACTTTGCCAGTATAGTGTCTTCGGGCCACAACCATCACCGTCCCACGGGGCGAAAATGGCCTGTCCGGAATTCCAGAATCGGGACTGTACAGCGTACTTAACGGGGTCCCGGAATCGGGCTGCAAGTGCCATGTCGTGGCACTCTGACAACGGTGTCCCATCAAGTTCCAGGAGACCCCGGAAAGTTACCAGGAACGCCGATGAGTTTCCGGCACATCCTGGAGTCTGAGACCGGTTGTTTTCGATCAGTGGAGCGTTGGCTTGGCATGCCGAGATCGGTTCCTCAAGACGTTCCCGGCACCGGCCGGGTCCTTACCCTCGAGACCAGCGGTTTTTGCCCCGTGGGGTGTTTGTCTGGCGTGCTGAAACTTTTGTCCTGAGAAATTCCTGCAACAGGCCGGTCTGACCTGTGCACCATGAACGCATACCAAGCTGGTAAAACAGCTGTGACAACTCTGTCTGTCATTCTTGGAAATAGAAAAGGGGAACACAAAACTCTTACAGCTAGGTAGTTTATTGTCGATCGCTGGAGAGCTACTGCTCGGAACATCACCAGGTGGGATGAACGTGGCTGTGTGCCTCAAGGAATGGGAGTTCTCATCAGTCTCTTTCTTTTTTCCGACTAGATAGGTAACATAATAGCTTCTTTTCAACCAGGTCGATGATGCACTTCTGAAGACGAGTCTCCAATTGACGATCCTGCAAACAGAATCTACAGACGACACAAATCATTTGAATGATAGGGCAAATCAATACCTTGGATACCCGCTGCACACAAGGCACCGGTCTTTTAACGTGCAGATAATAATAATATCCAATTATACTTGAAGTCGTTAACAGAGGGTCGCATTCAACACTGCGACACAAATGTAACCCAATGCCGGTGAAGGTTCTGGGTTTGGCTGCCACGTTAAAGCACAAATCGTATGGAAGCAGATGGGTCTTTCACATGAAAGAGCAAGACACTCAAACACTGGTAGACCAGAGATTTATGAGTGTGATGAGGGGGGGGGGAGGAACCAAGTACGATAAAAACGACGCACCTGAAAACTGTAAGTTGCATTAAGCAAAGGGCCAGGAAGAAGATGCAGTGAACGTGGTGAAGATGTGAATAACTAGAAAACGAAGACTGCAAGGCAAGTGCAAAATGAGGATATAACGAGAAACAGAGATGACGACGAGATGAGAGGAAGATGACATAAGTTCATGCGGTGTGGAAAAATAGCGGGCATGACACGGAACCCGGCTCGACAGCGGTGGTCCCGGCAGCCAAGGAAGAGCACGGACTGACGAGTCCAGCCCTGTGGGGCTGTTAACCAGACTTGCTGGGAACCATTCGCCTGTGCCAAGCGAGCCTGAAAGCACTTCCGGGAAAGGACTAACTTCAGGCCAACGACGACGTGTAACACCGTGCAGAAAGCGGATTCACCTAACGGAACTTTGTATATCTATCTACACAGTTTTATTTCAGACTTCTTTTCCTTACTACGGTAAATATTATGTTACTTCTTATGTTCAACCCTGTGAGATTCCGAGTCCCTTTATTTATTTTTTCTATCACAATCAGCAGCCCATGTAAAAACAAACGCTTTCTAATTTTATGCGTCATGTGAAGTCCTCTGAAATAACCTTTTTCAATAAGCGTTCTGCGTTTGTGCAAGCTCTCCTCACGTAGTAGCGAAAGCTAGGTTTAACAAGCAGTGCAAGGGTTAATTGTGTTACCTCTTTTTCCCCCTCTTTAGCTCATCTATTCCTGCTTCAAACATAAAATTGTCATTCTGCTTACTGTAAAGCTTGAAAAGTCTAAACATATGGGTAAAATAACCGACACCTGTGTTAGTGGCGTGCAATGTTAGTGCAGGAAAAAATCACTCCAAATGAAAACAAAAATAAAACTAATGACAACCCGAAGCTTGTGTCTGTAGGCCTTTTTGATGGTTTATGATCACATTCTAATAATCAAGCTGACTAACGTATCATCTTATTATTCTTTGGGCATGGGTTGTTGCAATTTCGAATACACTTCGTAACTGAAAACTTTTCTTTAACTATTATCCTTATTTCTCCTTTGTGACAAGTTCAGAGTACAATATCATACTTTAAACACTTCTGTCGTGAAACAAAGTCGATTGCGCACATCGACGCCAACACCTTCGTCATCATATACTGCCGCTGTCTAGTTTCTTCATGGGTGAAGCATCGATGCCATGAAAATAAAGTGTTCGATTCCTTTATAAAACTTCTGCACACATATCTCAAAAGTGTAGCACTATTTCATGTCCACCGACATCAGGACCTACCCCAGTACTGGTTGTTTTTATTATCTTGCTTTGATCGATCGTTTGTAGACTTGCTATCACTCTGTTTGATCTGCCTGTATACTTTTTCACTTGCCTCCCATGCGTGCAAACAAACACATAAAGTAAAAAAAAAATGCGTACTATAGGGTGTTTACCGTGTTTACCCTTGGACCGCAGAATTGACTTAATAGCTAGTGGCTATAAAAATGCGATGTGTTTTTTTTATTTATTCATATGTTTCATTCATAAAAAGAATGATAGGCCTGACGATATCATGCCCTCAAACAATCCACGTTTCATTAGAAAGTGTTATGGCTACAATGATAGCCAAAGATTGCTTTCGATTTGTCAGGAAGAAAGGGGGCACAAGAAATAATTTGGGAACAAAGGCATGAACTAATGAACGATGCTTAGATTGGATTAGCCATCGCCTTCGTCTCCGGTTTTGAATAAAATACGAATACATATTATTATCCAAAGCGTCGCGATCAATTAGAGTGGAAAACTTCGTTTTGCAACTAATATGCGGTAAAGCCAACGAGGTAGAGGGTTTTAGAGCGAGATAAACTGGCAGCTGAAAGAGCTCCCCCCCCCCCCCCCCCCTCAATTGGCCGCCGCCATGTTGCACATTTTTTACTACTAGAAACGTGACCTTATAGTTTTACGTCTAGATCTTAGATAAGAACCGCGCACACATTATTGCCTGTTGATCTCTAATAACAGTACCCACGAGATAAATTATGTATCGTTTAAGTCCAAAATGTGATTTTACGGCAAACACTCGGGCAGCTTCGCAATGCCTCTACTAAATGCCGTCGGTCGTGGTGCTGTACTTCGCGTTTTTATCGGAGGTAGATACTGATCGCTGGGGCTAACAATATTAAAAAAAATAGTTTATTGTGTTTTTTACAGCGGTCACAATACAAACATGGGCTCAGTTGCGGGTAAAAGCCTCATGATATGGTCACGTGTCTAGCGGTCAACCATGTGCAACACGGTGGCAGCCAAGCGAGGCTCATTTTTGTCTGGTGAACGAGATACCAGTTCATCGCTCTAAGCACCTCTACATCATTCGGGAAAGCCAATATTTGAAAATAAATGTGAATAAAATGCCGAAAATCGAAACTGCATATTACAAGGACTTCAAAACTAGAGGTTTGAACACTAATTTCTTTAAAATCGGAAGCACGTCTCGTGCAAAAATCTAGTAGTTATCACAAAAAAAAAAAAAAAAAATAGGCGCAGTGGTTAGCGCGCCAGACTCGGAAGTTCGTGCTGGGCTGAAAAATGGTGGTTCGAATCCAAATGACGGTAAAACGTTCTTTTTTGTATTTTTGTTTTTGTTTGTAGTTGTTATGAACAGCGAAAAAAGCAAAACAAATATCCGGTGGCAATCGCTCTTGGCGTGGCGCAATAAACGCTGCTGTTGCGCCGCGCAGAAGGCTAAGATGCCTCCAGGAGAAACTCTTACATTGATTGCCGCATATTTGCTTTTGTTATTGCAGTGTTAACGGTGAGCAATGTCTTCCAGTACTCTTTTTTTGCCGCGAAAACGACGTCAAACTCCGAAACTGCAAAAAAAAAAAACGCACATTGTTAATTAGGCATTTAGTCGTGCAGGAAACGAACAAAATAAAGCACGCCTCCGTTCCTACTAACACGATACCGCCTGGCGCGCTCTAGATATTTCCATGACCACCTTAGCCATGTGTGGTAGGATGTGAATAATTGGAAATGAAGGGAGCGCAAATACTTCGAATCTGCGATGGTACAAATTGTAAATGTAGACCAGGCCCCATGTTCACATATCACTTATAGTCACCGATTGCTGAAGATGTCTCCGTGATATGCTTTAGTAGTCTACAGCCCACTGTAGCAGAAGAGTCTGAAACTAACGTTTTTTTTCCTGCCGGTCGGCTGTCGGCGTTCGAACAAAGCAATATGTGAACGACAATAACCTTCGCTTTGCTATCGTCAAGTTCGCCGGTGTATACTTAAAAAAAGAATACGTAGGTTCAAGCACGTTTCCTATTCTTGAAGGTTTCTTGACCTTTTTGTGACGCAGTAACTTTATTTTCACGGCGTATGCAAGCCAGGGCCTTTCATGCGTACTTCGCACAAAAAAGGTCGGTGCACTCAATGAATCGTGTGTGAGAATAATATGTTCTGATGTTTGAAGAATGGCTATTGTCCCTTAGCAGCTGGGTGGATGGTTATTTTTCACAAACAAAAAAAGACAAGGCGTTCTTCCATTACGAACTTGCATCAGTGTATAGCTATAAAAACGTAATGTTATCCCAAGATATTTACCGTGTCTGCGTGTATATGCATGTGTATACCTCGAGTGGCAATGATCGCCACCTTCGTCTTGGCAATACTGTTCTTATGTCACAGCCATGCTTGTTTACCTCAAAATAGCAAAGGGGATTTTCCTGATGCCAACGAGGTAAGAAAATACCATGCATGCACCCCTATCATAACGAGGTGTGATCAACAAAGTTTTTTAGTAGCTCGGATTCCCGGACATGAATTTTCATCTTTAAACATGTACGACGTTCATAGGTTCACCTCGAAGAGAAACTCTTGTTGCGTCATACTTTGCCACTAATGGACCTTTTTGGTGTAACGATCGCCGTCTGCGGAGTTTCCCTTGAACTTCCAATGTTCTCTCCATGTCGTACGTGTGTCGTATGTGTCTCGTTTTGTTTGTCGTACGTGTCGTAGGTGTGTCTTCTCGAACTGCAAATATTCTCTCCGCCTGTCGGTGCTGTACGTGTGTCTTTTTTTCGTCCTCTTATGTTCGCGCCTTTTAACCTTTGAATCGATATGTACCAACTAACCTCGACGAAAGTTTTATTGCAAATGAAGGGGAGTTCAACTTGCCTCCGCCCATCAGAGTATATTTTCATTGTTACGTTGCATTGACCTTCGTTGCCTCTTATGCCCATTACTAGCGTTTACTCAAAGTAGAATAACCAAAAAAGGAATGTGCGCAAAGACATTTGCCAAATATTTTGGTCGACCGGAACTTTGCCCTGCGAAAATAGCGACTGTGGGAAGCAAGGCCAGGGTTGGTGGCGTGCGCATGCGAGGAAGCTTATTGTAGCAAGGTCCATATGCCACAGCCTTAGCACCCCAACGATGAGGTTTAACACAAAAAGTGTTAATGGGCGCGATTTTATGCGAACAGTGTCGATAGCGTGGGTGAAGAAAAATCGTTACACTCACGTTGAGGCTAGAGAAAAGACACACAGCCCATGGCACAAAATGCGTAAAAATCGAAAGAAGGCAGTTTTAGTCGTAATAAATCACAAACTCATAATTTGGCGTATATAATTGTAACAAAGGAGATCTACTATGCTGCTCAGTCGGAATCAAACTCTTGATCATGAACACCACAGCCCAACGCCTTTCTTCGGCGGCATAACCATTTTTTCTAATGCACAAGGAGTAAAACGTATTAGTCACATTTCAGTGCCTCCAGACGCACGATGAAATAAACCACAGTGTCATTTTGTAAAAAAAGAACAAAAAACATTTCGCAGCTGGAGGAGGGCTTTAAAAATAATTATTCATTCGGACTCATGCTGAGCGGCTTGGTACACACTTTGTACTTCAACTACAAGTTTACAAAAATTCACATGCACCTACTTCATATCAGTATCAACTTGGCGGACAGACATTACTTTTTTCTTTATGCTAAACACTACTAGCAATATTAATACGTCATAGCGAACACTATCATTTGAGTCTATTGTCAAGGATCCCATCGTATGTGCACTAATAAGGAGTTTTAGCAAGTTGTTTTCACAAACGGCTCGTCTTCGAACGCACCGCCTACGTCCCTGCAAGTCGTTGGGGGTTTCGGGAGCCTCTGCTCGTTCGTTTTCCACACTACGGCCGCTAGAGTTGTTACCGAGAAGCTTCATTTGAGAGGTTGAACGAAATAATTCCTTGGACCTTTCCGAATGGTAAGCGATCGTGAATGTCGGAAACTACGCATGCTAATTTTTGCGCAAGCCGACTAGCTGCCGTACTGACCGCGAGCAGACGAAAGATTTGGTTCGACAGCACTCAACGTGAGTGACCGTTCAAGTGCAAGATGACGGTGATACACTACCTGACTTTGCGGTCATTCAGACACTTTTTACTGTATCTGGCTTTGTAGGTTTTGAAAATCCTACCAGTAAATATTACATCGGCCGTATTGTTTACATCGGTCGAAAGCCGGAAAAACGAGCCGCCTTGGATTGGCACGCTGAGGAATGTTTCACATGCTTACTATAGTAGATGAGGTTGCAGGTCAAACGATATCATCATCGTCGTCTACACGGTTGCGCAAGTTTTACGATTTTCTGAAATTCGCTAAATTTTACGTAGAGTTTCGTGGAACGGGCCAGCTGCACCGTTCATAATTTCGTAATCGTGTGCTCCGAGAACGACTCGCTAAAAGTCCCTAATGATGTCTCTTTGTGTGTGTGTTCGCTGGAGAACGCGCAGTAGACTTGCCATAAAAATTGTGTGTTCTGTATTTTTAAGTCTCTTACGCACCAAGCAATATTCTCGCCATGGCGCAACATTTGTTTTTCCTGAGTCACACATAATATCGTTATGCAGCTTAAAAACAAAGACTGCGGCTGGGGCAGGTCACCAGCAGAGGTGTGTCTGTCATTGACATCAAGGACGAGACTAAGGGTCGGTTGCATCAACGTCGCTTACATTGACCCAAAGTGGCTCTTTCTTAAGTCAGCTTAGCGTCCTACACCTAGATCGGCCAATCACGGGTCAAATTCCGGTTGCACCAAGATTAACTCGGGTTTACAGACGCGCCACTACTTGAACGCTGGATTTGCATAGAGAATGTATGGACAGCCAGAGTGAACTAGGGAATGCTCAGACGAACAATTACGTTTGGCGGAGAGGAATAACTCACCGAAGAAACGCTGTGTTTCTTCGGTGAGTAAACAAATAAAACGTATCCAGATGCAATCATTTGTACACTGAGCTTTCAAAGATGGGAGTCGACGCTTTAAATAAACACAAAAATATCTTTAAATATGTAATTGTGTGCTTACTATTTGATGAGAGCAGAATATTTTGAAACTGACCGTAGATTTCGTGCTCACATTTCGAGGTAAAAAGCAATTCAGAGGCCCAAAATTTTATTGAATGCGAGAATGACGTTCCACTCGCTACACCGCTGGAGACTGCCAAAGAAATCATCGAGTATAATTAGGCAGGTCAAATGAGTATAAAAATAAAAAAATGATGAATGAGACCGATGAAATTTAAAGCAGTGACGAGCTCGATACCGCTGCTGCGAGAGTGTTACGAAAAACTTCGAAGAGAAAGCGTCGAGAGATCGCGTCGAGAGATCAGGTCGCGAGACAAGGGGGACTTGTGTCGACCGTACTCGTTGCTCTCAGCAAGGGGCGAAACTGCTCTGCCTATCCTTGAGCATCTGCTGCAGCCCCAGACGGACTTGAGTTTTACACCATGGAGCTCAAAGGTAGCTTTGCAACCTTCACCATTTTTATTATGTGAGTCCTCTGCAAACAGAGATTGCTTGTCTAGTTTATATGTGCCCCAGTAGCCCAATTTCCTGAAAACAGAAACCACGGAGAGCAGTTTGAACAGGCTTGGGATCTCCAAAACGATAACTCAAACCCAGCTCGTTTGGTTAGTTTATAATCAAAGGAATACACAAAAATTACGGTTTTCCCTGTAACCTCTTTATGATCGTGACTTCATTAACTGCAAATGATCTCCACAGACTAGAACAATCACTCTCTAGTTGTGCGTTTTGTCCTAATAATTATAACAACTAGGGTGAGAGGTGGAAGCTTGTCTGTTGGGGTTCAGGGAGTAGGCTAAAACATCCACATTGGGGGAAAAATTCGAGCTTCTGTATTCTTAAGGCGCATTTGAACTCGCTGGGTCCTGTACCTCAGTCAGTGAAGCTCTTGGAAAATAAACTTACTAATCCCCACAATCAGCCATTTCAAAATGTGGCTTGAACTGGTCGGAATGAAGTACTTGATGCTGTTATACGTAAAGTATACGTAAAGTACGTTCCTTTAGGCAAATCACCCTGTTGTGTTTTTATCTTCATATTTGTCTTCCTCACTGTTGGCCGTTTTATGTGAATTCCCAGCTCTCTCAAGCTACCATTTCACAAAAATATATTTTTACTAAGAAATATTTACATGTTTAGTGTATATGTAAAAACATTGGGAAGAAATGTTTTTGCATCTCATTGTTTATAAAAGTTACACATGATTATATAAACAATTAATTTTTCAAAGCTTCCCTTCGGGGTTTGCACTATTGCATACTACACAATTCTGATTTTTTTGTCAGGTTATTTTGTTGACAGTATTGAAGGTATTACAACACATTGCTTGGTCATCATACTCACCTGAGAGGTTGAAATATAAACTACCCCACAACACTTTCTCCAACACGGCGCTTTGTGTCTCAGATATTCTTGAACAGCTTCGTTATTTATTTTTCCACAGCCCTACTTAGGTGTGTTTCTAAGCTTTCTTTGCTTGATTTCTACCGTGAGCAGCCAGCCTTGCACAAAATTCAACTCATTCAAATTCAGTAAAGTTCCATAATGAAAAATGGCAATTTAGGCTAAGCCATATAAATCAAGCCAAACCCACGTCCATAAAAAAATGCATACGTCTGTTTGCAGCTGCACCAAATATCAAAAACACCTAAGCACAGCAAGATATCACTTGTGGAACTTGAATGAGCCTATTATCAGTGTTGCATTTGGAATAAGGATGGCACTGCCCTTAAGTCTGTCTTTTCAGTAAAATTTACATAACCAGTTCCTAAAGCATCTGGTTATTTCCAATATGTCAAGAATACAACATTCTAAAGTGTAAACGATTTTTGATAATTTTAACGACCACGGTATTTATTTCAAATATCAATTACAATTTAAGGACGATAACCCTCCAGTCGTAGTCTTCAACACTTCAGAGTCGTCTGGAGGCAAGTTGGGGGAGAAAATATAAAACTTTGCTGTAATATCACCGTCTAAGACCAATGAGTCTGCTATATGAGTACTAGGACTATCTCGAGGTGGTTCTGAGCAGGTCAGAACCATCTGGAGGCAAGTTGGGTCACAAATAGAAAACTTTGTAGTAAAAGCACCATTTATTACCAATGATTATCTACAATCTGAGGACGACGACTATCCTCTGGTATTTTTCAGCGCATCTGCGCCGTCTGGAGGCAAGTTTCGTCACCAAATATAAAACGTTGTTGAAATAGCACCATCTACGGCCAATAATTGTTTGCAATCTAAGGGCAATGACCATCCCGTGGTAGTTTTTAGCACTTCATTGCCATCTGGAGGCGAGTTTGGCAACCAAATAGAAAACTTTGTTGTAAAAGCACCGTCTTAGAAAAAAGATTGACTACAATCTGAGG